GGTACATGTCTTTCTCTTACAATGCTAGAGGAGAAAAGTAAACATGCACTCCACAAGCAATTAAATACAGAATAGATGGCCATGAGAGTGCAGATAATAGCATCGCAGTCTTGTCACTGAACAAATAATCCAGGAGTCCAAATAATGCTTCAGAGACATCATTAACATTTGGATACTTATGCCAAAAATCGAGAGAGATTTTCCAAAGACTAGAAAAGCTACAGTCTGATTTTCAGAATGCTACCTTTCCACCAAAATCCCAGATTGTTCAATCGTCATCCCTGGGTATGTGCTGTCTCACAGGCAGGGCAAACCCACGGCGGTTGTAATCAAGAGGGAGTGTTCCCGAAAATCCATTACATTTTACTCTGAGTCCCACAAGACTGTGTGGCGTTAGGTCAAACACAGGACAGGAAATTACCTGCTGGTTACCAACCATCATCCTCTCAAGAAGCCTAGTCAGTTGACTAAGAATGTAGTGTAGAATAATGCCAACATGACTTTAATCATTGCTCTGATTGAGAAAGCTCTTGAGGACCATGTCCTTGCCTCGTCTCACGGACTGCAAAGGGTGAAGCAGAGAAACACACTGTAGCCTTCTGCTGCCGCTGTCTTGTTGAAATCAGCCAGGAGAAGCAGCAAGCACCTTTCCCTAAGTACAATCAAATTCCTTAGCATAGAGTAAGCTGTTTAAAGAAAGTGTGCTCTTTGAAATTGCTTACAGCTTGGACAGACCCAAAAAACGTGTTTACTATTATCAGCTGATGAATCTGTATTCAATGTTTAACACAGCTGGAAGGAGCATTGAGGGTAGCAATGGCAGACAATGTACCCTGGGTGAGAAATTTCTATGCCCAACTGTACACAATTGCAGCTCAGGATTACGAATATTTAAGTGCTTTCCTGCTAGATTTGACCTGTGACAGAACAAAAACAAGGGGAAAACATATATAACTTGACCCTTACCAATCCACCCAAAATAAATGCATTTATTGATGACAAAATCAGAGTGATCACTGCATAATATGGAGACAAAGCCCCCTCTCTAGACTGAAGACTACCTCTTTGTGTTGTGTGGCATTACCATCATGCTAAATTGAATAAGATTTATAACACATTAACTGCAGGCTATGCCCAATTCATTGAGCCAGGAGACTAATAACCTTGGTTCAATGAGTAGAGTAGGACAACTTTGCAGGAGCAGCACCATGCCCACTCGAAAATGAGGTACAAACCTGGTAAAGCCACACAGCAGAGGATAACATGCAGGTTAAACAGCAGAAACAGCATCCAGTCTGCTTTAGGAAAGTCTCATGTTCTTGTGTGTTCCAACTCCATCCACATTGTGGCTTTTCTACTCAGTGATGGGCAACTCCATGACATGACCACAAGATTACTCCAGTCGTAATGCCCTTGCACACAGAACAATTGTTGTCAACACAAACTTCTGCAATGCAGCGAGACCTGGACTATCAGTAACACTGGAGAAATTTCACCAATGTCTCCATCACGTTCTTCAGCATTAATGACAGAACATTGGACAATCACTCACTTCATTCTTCAAGCCTACAAGCATTCAGGCAAATTTTTGCACAATTAACTGCAATGGGATGGATACAGCATCTGAATTACTGCATAGATTCTGTTTTATCAACTTTCAAAATGGTCAACTTTCCAGGAGGACGCCAAAGAAACCACGATAAAAGATACTTTGAAGCTCACCTTGAAAGTAGCAGCATTGATAACAATGACAAAGACGTTACCAATTGTGCAAAATGCAACATCCTGTACATCAAGCTGCATTGTGCTTTAAGTCTGAACAATTAAATGATGAGGCAGAGGCAGCAGTAGAGAAGGAAGAGAAAGAATAAAATTCCGCATTCTGGATCCCACCACCTCCATGTATCCCAAACATCCATGGGTTAAGAATTAAGCTGTTCAGTCACAAATAGAAACCTGTCACCCTAAGTGGATGTCATCGTCAAATCAACGGTCAACCACGATGACTGTGGTCACCTCTGACTAGAACCAAACTGGACTAGCCATATAAACAATGTCTACCAGGCAGGTCACGCAGGGAAACCTGCAGCAACACTCAACACTCCACAAAGCTTGTTCCTCTACTAAGCACAGTTCAGGAGTACAGTGAAATACTCCCCACTTGCCTGGAGTGTAGTTCTAATAACACTCAAAAACCTGACATCATTTACAAAGAAGTCTACTTAATCCACACCCCATCCACTACCTTAAATATTCACTCCCTCCAGTACCAGCACTGTGGGTGCACACTGCAGTGGTTCAAGGTGGGATTCACCACCATCTCTAGGACAATTAAAAAATGCCAGTCTTATGATAGTCACATGACCACTGTTCATTGTCATAAAAACCCATTTAATTCACTAGGGAAGGAAATCTGCCATCCTTTCCTGGTCTGACCTACATGCACCCCAGACTCTTAGCAATATGTCCTAACAATTAGAAATAGGCAATAAATAATGGCCTAGCCAGCAATGCTCACATCTCTGGAAGGCATTAAAAAAAAACTGAAGTAATACATTTCCAAGATTTGCAACTGTAGTGATCCACAACTGGTCTGAAATTAAATAAAAATACAAGTGGTATAATTGTTTTTAAAGATGATGTAATTACACAAAGGTCCATAAAAAAATTGACACCAAAATCATTAGCCACACTAATTCAAACTCTAATCATTTTGTACAGTTTATTATAAGATGTTGAAGGTTCCAAACTTGGTTATTAATAACTTCTACTGGGCAACCAGAGAGTCAACTCTGTAGTTGGGAGTTTCACTCCCACAGATCCCCATAAGTACTCCCAACATTAACAAAACACATCAACACTTGATCCTGCAGACCTCTTACTGGGTAAAGAGTGAATTTAGTTTACTCAGAGCCTGAGTAATCACTCAGTCTCTGCAGTCCCTTTCCTCCCACCTCAAGTTTCAGGCAATAACCATACCAGCAGGTTGTATTTATGTAGCATGTTGAACTTTAAAATGTTGTTCTGTGAGGCTATTAACTATCAGATTAAAAAAAGTGGCAGCAACTCACATAGTGAGATATTAGGGCTGATGACCGAAAGCTTGGTCAAGGAAGTAAGCTCCTAGAGAGTCCTGAAGATGTAAACAAAGAACAAAAAGGGGCAATGGGAAGTTTAGATAAGTTACAAAACAACTTAGGGCCTTAAAAATGAAGGCAGGGTCACCAAATCTAAAGTAACAGACTCTCAATTCTCAAAGCGAGAACTGCAGAGGGCTGATTTTTCAAAGGGTTATTGTGTTGGAGGATATTACAGAGGTCAGAAAGGGCAAGGCCATGGAAAGATAAGCATTTTAATGTAGATACATTTTCATCAGAAGCTATTAAGGTCATCAAGCATGGGGTGGACTGTCAAACAAGACTTGGTGCAAGTTAGAACATGGGCAGAGTTTTCTATCACCTCAAGGTTAATAGAGGGTACAGTGCAAAGGCTAGGCAGCAGTGCGTTAGAACAGTCAACTGGAGACTGAACAAAGATATGGATGAGGGCTTCGGCATGAGCTAAGTTGGGGCAGGATCAGACAATGGTATTGAGATGAAAATATGTGGTCCTAGTGAAGGCATGGGAGCGTGGTCAGAAATTTATGGAGTCTGAGTTAAACTCAGTGGACTGATAAAATGACCGTTGGGGAATGCAGTGACATAACGAGGTCATCCAGGTGGATGCCAGGATATGAATTCCCTGATTGGATCAGATTAACAGCCCCAATCAGGGAGCCCTGGCTGACAGACAGAGCCTCTGATACTCTGGTTTATATCACTCAGAACTGCCCGAGGAAGCCACACCAGTGTCAGTACTATGCCTGTGTAAACAAAGGGCGACGTGGTGACAGGATACTGGCCTTTGTGGATATATTTAAGCGAACACTAATGCTAGCTGTCTCAGTCTGAAATGAATCTAGTCAGCACCGACTTTTGCTTTCTGCCACCAGCCAAGTAAACACTGCAACCATTTAAATAGTTTGCCCTTAATTCCTTGGGCTTTCATTTTAATAGTCCTCACTTCATGTGTTAAAAGCTTTCTGAAAGTCTGTGTATTTACATTTACTCCCTCACCCTGAAGAACATTCCCAATAAACAAATAATCCAACACGTTTGTCAACTCTCATGTAATCCCCGGTCCCACTTCTGGTCATCTCTTGGAAATTTCAAGATTAGCAAAGGGGAATTCCCATAACAATTGGGTCTGACAAAGTCCTGATCCAGATTCCACATCTTTAGTTCTGTAACTTGCAATAAGTTTGTTGAAAAACTCAATGAGTTACATTAGTTTTAAAGACCCTGATAATTTGTGTCACAAGAAGTCACTGATTCCTCCCTTGTAAGAGATTTCATATGTGTCAAAGGATAAATACATCTTTTAAAAAAGTTCCTTCGAGTACACTTTCACAACACTGTAAACCCAAGACACTGCATATCTATCCCATACACCTGTCTGTACCGATTATCAAAGTGCCAACTTCAAAGCAATAAAACTACATTAAAAGCGGCTGCTGCAAACAGAAACAAATCCAGCATCCTAAAAACCTCACCTCTCTGACATAGAAAAAAAACAAGTTGCAAGATTAACGAGATAAGCAATAGTTCCATAAACGGGCCCTAGGTGGGGGGGGGGGGAGGGGTGAGGAGACAGCATCATCAATCATTGGCTGAATGGAAAATATTTTTTAAAAGTCATTGAAAACTGTCATAATAAAAAAACTCTGTAACGGTTTTAAACAACCTCAGGATGCGCTCACGGATAAATGATTTACTAAGAAGTACTCCACAGAGAAACTGAAGCCGTCATGTTAAAGTTGTTTTAAATTATCCTAACTTTGGGACAATAAACAACTGGGAAACAACATGCCAGAAGGAAATAACCACAGAGCTTGCTCAATTTGTGTAACATCCCAAAAATACCTTTTTAGAAACAAATCTGGAGAAAACTAATTAACTCACCTCTACCCATCGCTGACCGTCTCTGAATGCCAAGACATGGTCAGGATCCGCCTGCTCTTTCCACTCCATCGCTAGGTAGCGGACCACGGGGAAAAAGAAAAAAAATACACGCAAGGTCAGTTTGTGACCAACACCTTTGCCAAAAACTCGAGACGTCGTAGAACGCGGTTGCAGTGAAAGAAGCGAAGTTGGGGAGAGGTCAGGGACCGGGATCTGATGTGCAGCCACTAGGCTACAAAGCGGCGCTGTGAAAAGCTCTCACACTGTGAACAGTTTACACGGGTAAAGTGGAGCAACAGCTAATTACACTCGGGAACCTGCACTTCAGTTATAGAATAAAACCTCCCCAACCCTCTCCCCGCGGACTAAATTAAATATTTCAAGCACAAACGGGCTGAGCTCTACCTGGTTAAACGCCATTTAGTCCACTGTTTACTGCTACAACTCACCCACTTCTTCCCCCCCCACCTTTAATTTGCCCGGTTCCTCAAGTTTAGGGAGGCGTTTTTACTTTTGCATTAATTGTAAAATGAAGCCAATTCTCCCTTTAAGATGTTCCCGTCACTTGTTGCGCTGGACCAGCGAGGTACAGTTTTAGAAACGTATGTTAAGCCTGCAGTCTGTCGTACCTTGTCTAACACCTCCACCTGCAGGGTGACCGCCTGGAAGCTCGTTTCTGCCGCTTTCAGGCTCTCTCTCTCTCATGTCCCTTGGCAGTCTTACACTTCCTCGCACATTCACCAGCGTCGCGTCTCACCTGAGTGTTTCAGAGAGAACTATGAACTGAACAGTTCCGCTAATCCGCCCAACGTGTCACTCAACCCTTGCACCCGCCCATTGTATGATAATAAGGAACACAGCGCTGTCTCACTTAGCACGGACAGTCACCCTTATCCCCAACCCCCCCTTCTCCGGTGCATTGTGTGTGAATTGCTATTCTGCTGTTTGCATTTTAAAGGCGAGGTTTACAGACATTTAGATGTAAAACAGCGTATGTGCAGAGTGTCAGAGCACTACTAAAATGCCCCAGAGGACCAAAATGATAAAGGTTCTCGCTGCTTAAGGTTCCGGATATACCGTGATTCAAGGAGCTAAACAGATTACTTCTATCACTGATATACCAAGGTGTAGAGCTGGATGAACACAGCAGGCGAAGCAGCATCAGAGGAGCAGGAAGGCTGACGTTTCGGGCTTTGACCCTTCTTCAGAAAATTACTTCTATCACTCCTGTGATACTGCCCTCGGTTGAATAGTCCACTAAAACTCATGAAATTCATTTGGCAAGATTTTATCCCCCAAAATATGCTTTATTCATGAAACTTAAAACTAGATTCCAAATTAAATATTACAATCGGCAGAGCATGTTCCACTCTGGGGTGCCTCAGTACAATTTCAATACTTTTAATATTTTCCAATATACATTTCATGTTGGGGATGCAGGCTATGAGAGGCCTAGTTGCTTGCTCCTCATAGACCATAACAATCTTTCCCCATTGCGCTTCTGAGCTAGCTGCCCCAGGCTGTAACACGTCCTTCAGCATGTAGTCCTGCACACTGAAATGCATCAACCCGTAACACTCAGTCGGGGATAACTCGTTGCACTGGATCACAAAGTTTCAACCAGACATTACTTGGCAAGTTTATAAAGGGTTGCTCACAACATCTATCAGGCAGTTCGTTCTCTCCGTTCTGCTAATTCTGACTTCCTTTCCATCATAGCCTCTCTTAATGATCAGTGTCTTTAAGGTACTTGGGGGGGGGGGGGGGGCATGAAATTGCATGTGTTATTAGGCAGGAAACCAATTTTAAAAGTTACTGTAGAAGTCTGTACCACACATGCAGCTATTTGCATCTTTTATAGTCGTTGATCTTTTGTCAGCTTGATCAACAGCTCTTTGAAGTGATTCTGGGGAGAAGCATGCTTCAGCCGTTATAATATCAAGTTACCTTGATGATTGATAGGAAAGTGGTGTTTGCCAATTGTCCTTGGGAGTTTCCCATTTCTCTGCTGTTTAAGTGTCTGAAAGAAACACAATTGCCATTGGCAAATGGGGGCAGATTAGAAATAACAGTACTTTCAATCAACCTGCCCACAGTAAAAGTGTCTGCTCTAGTGTAACTGTAGGTATAACTTTAATTTATGAGGCTGTTGACTATCTGTTCAATTGCATTCACAAAAATGTTTTGGAGCTGAATTTTAACAATTTGGACAGCTTTAACAAACAAGAACAATTTGTATATATGTATCTTCCACAAAATTGCATTAAGTTCCAGCATACCAACCCTCAAATATGTGCTAAACAGAGCTTTAAAAAAGCCAAAGAAGCCCCTATGCAACCTGATTTGTTTCCAAACAAACTCTGTTGAGAGACAAATGAAAGCAGTAATGCAGCAAATATGTCTTTATTTATCAATTTATTCATTGACCTTATCCTTGTACAGTAAAAGATGCAAGAAGCAGTGGATTTTTTGTGTCCCAAGGACAATTGGCAAACACCACTTTCCTATCATTCATCAAGGTAACTTGATATTATAATGGCTGAACCATGTTGATGCAGACCATAGCGAAGACACATTCCTTGCTTCACTTTCTACCAGTGCACATTTCATCTTTAAACATTAAAGAACGATCTGGTGAAAGATGGTAAAGTAGTCCAGTTTCATTCACATTAAAAAAATGTTCCTTGGCGCATGGTTGTTCAGGATGTGGATAAGGCCATTTTGCAGTCATTGCTTGCCTGCGATTTTGCACACTGGTATGGCCTAACTCTGCTTCAGTTGGAATGGTAATATGATAAGCATTTGACATAAGTTTGGCTAATCCAGAATTCAAAGTTGGAACTTTGGCTTCTCAAGGGCATCCTTCTATTCGACTGACTATTCTATCAGTGGGAATGGCTGAGCAATTTTGTCATAAGTGGAGTTTCTGGTTACCTGAATTTGACCCATTGTGATTTCACTGTGATGCCCCTAATGAGGAGGTCTCTGGTGCTGTTAGGCCAGAAGCTCCAGGCTCAGTTTCTCATTCCAGCCTTGATTGCCAAGGAAGATGCATTCATAAGATGGCCAAACAGGTTGATTATTCGTCTGAACATAAGAACTAGGAGCAGGAGTAGGCCATCTGGCCCCTCGAGCCTGCCCCACCATTAAATAAGATCATGGCTGATCTTTGAGACTCAACTCCACTTACCCACCCACTCACCATAACCCTTAATTCCTTTACTGTTCAGAAATTTTTCTAGCCTTAAAAACATTCAGCGAGGTAGCTTCAACCACTTCACTGGGCAGGGAATTCCACAGATTCACAACCCTTTGGGTGAAGAAGTTCCTCCTGACCTCAGTCCTACATCTGCTTCCCTTTATTTTGAGGCGATGCCCTCTAGTCCTAGTTTCACCTGCTAGCGGAAACAACCTCCCTGCCTCCACTTTATCTATTCCCTTCATAATCTTATATGTTTCTATAAGATCTGCCCTCATTCTTCTGAATTCCAATGAGTATAAGCCCAGTCTACTCAGTCTCTCCTCATAAGCCAACCCTCTCAATTCTGGAATCAACCAAGTGAATCTCCTCTGCACCCCTTCCAGTGCTAGTATATCTCTTCTCAAGTAAGGAGACCAAAACTGCACACTGTACTCCAGGTGTGGCCTCACCAGGACCCTATACAGCTGCAGCATAGCCTTCCTGTTTTTAAACTCCATCCCTCGAGCAATGACAGACAAAATTCCATGTGCCTTTTTAATCACCTACTGCACCTGCAATCCCACCTTCAGCGATTCATGCACAAGGACACCCAAGTCCCTTTGCACATTTAAAACATAGTCCATTTTGCTGTTATTCCTACCAAAATGGATGACCTCACACTTATCAATATTGTAGCCCATCTGCCAGACCTTTGCCCACTCACTTAGACTATCTATAACACTCTGCAGACTTTCAGTGTCGTCTGCACACTTTGCTCTACCACTCATCTTAGTGTCATCTGCAAATTTTGACACACCACACTTAGTCCCCAACTCCAAATCATCTATGTAAATTGTAAACAATTGAGGTCCCAACACTGATCCCTGAGGCACACCACTAGCCACTGACCGCCAATCAGAAAAACACCCATTTACCCCTACTCTTTGCTTTCTACTGGTCAACCAACCCTCTATCCATGCCAATACATTACCTGTAATACCATGCAACTTTATCTTATGTAGCAGCCTTTGGTGTGGCACCTTGTCAAATGCCTTCTGGAAATACACCATATCCACAGGTTCCCCATTGTCCACCATGCAAGTAATGTCCTCAAAGAATTCCACCAAATTAGTTAAACATGACCTACCCTTCATGAACGCATGCTGGGTGTTCCCAATGGGACAATTTATATCCAGATGTCTTGCTATTTCTTCCTTAATGATAGATTCAAGTATTTTCCCCACTACCGAAGTTAAGCTAACTGGCCTATAGTTACCTGCTTTTTGTCTACTTCCTTTTTTAAACAGTGGCATCACATTGGCTGTTTTCCAATCTGCAGGAACCACCCCAGAGTCCAGTGAATTTTGGTAAATAATTACTAGTGCATTTGCTATTTCCCCCATCACCTCTTTCAGTACCCTGGGATGCATTTCATCAGGGCCAGGAGACTTGTCTACCTTTAGCCCCATTAGCTTGCCCAGCACTGCCTTCTTAGTGATAATGATAGTTTCTAGGTCCTCATCTGCTATAACCTTCTTGCTATGTGTTTTCAGCATGTTATTTGTGTCTTCCACTGTGAAGACCGACACGAAGTAACTGTTTAATGTCTCAGCTACTTCCTCATTCCCAGTTATTAAATTGGCCTTCTCATCCTCTAAAGGACGAATGTTTACCTTCGCCACTCTTTTACGATTTACATATTTATAGAAACTTTTGCTGCCTGTTTTTATATTCTGAGCTAGTTTACTCTCATAATCTATCTTACTTTTCTTTATAGCTTTTTTTGTGGCTTTCTGTTGGCCTTTAAAGATTTCCCAGTCTACTAGTTTCCCACTGATCTTTGCTTTTTTGTATGTGTTTTTTTTCAATCTGATACTTTCCTTTATTTCCTTAGACATCCACGGCTGGCTCTCTCTTTTCCTACATTTCTTCCTTATCACTGGAATATACTTCTGCTGAGCACTGTGAAAAATTGTTTTGAAAGTCCTCCATCCATTCCTCAATTGACCCACCATAAAGTTTTTGCTCCTATCCTACCTTAGCTAACTCCTTCCTCATTCCTTCATAGTCTCCTTTGTTTAAGCACAGGACATAGGTACTGGATTTAACCTTTTCACGCTCCATCTGTATTTTAAATTCGACCATACTGTGATCGCTCCTTCCGAGAGGATCCCTAACTGTGAGATCATTAATTATTCCTGTCTCATTACACAGGACTAGATCTCGGATAGCTTGCTTCCTCCATCCTTCCAGCATAAGCCAATGGCAGGTGGTAAGAGCCGGAGAGATTCCTGGTCACCCACGTGATGGAAAGAAATTGGAGTCTCCACTATCCCAATTCATCACCATGTATATGTTGCCACAGCAATTTGGACTTCTGGATGAGTGCCATAGGCTCAGTTAGTTGAATAGCTGTTCTGGCTCAGATTGGTGCCAACAGCACAGGGTTGGATCTCTGTGTTGGCTGCAGTGGAATTAGGGCCCGCCTCCTGGTGGAGATCGCAGTGCTGTGGGTCAGGCCTGCCTCAGACAGAGAGCTGAAGAATCATCCCATTATTGTTACCTACAGCACTTCACAAAGGGAAAACTAGACACCAAGTAGTGATG